ATGGTTGCTTCCATTTTCTTTTCCATTATCCCTACAAAATCCTTATGAACTCTATATTATTCTTGGCCGTGTTGTGTCCATCTTGTCATGGAATGTGCTCTTTGTTCAAGGCTTCTTCTTTTTCCTTGTCTTCCTCCAGCAGTTTTCTGGGTAGGCACCTGAAATATTCAATATTTTCCCTACTGGCTTTTAAAAAGGGATCCTATATACTAATATTTTTCAATCGGTTTTAGGGGCCAACCCAGTTTTGCAGGGGTGAACATTTTCGCAAGTGGCGTTCTGTGCAGGCGAATCGCTACGCTTGATGCCCTTGGTTGCTATACAGATCTGATGCCTCATCCACCGCCATAGTAGTATGTACCCTCGTACATAGTACGTGCCCTAGGTCAATTTCAGCTTTTCTATTTAGGGGTAAAATAGGGTTTATAAGGGTTATATAGGGATAATGGAAAAGAAGCTGGAAACAACTATGATGGGTTTTATTCACCCCCTCCTAAACCCTAGTAGTTGTAGCACAAACAAAACTAGCCTGTCCGCGCCGAGGCGAGCGAGCACAAGCAGCGCAGGCTCGAAGGCCAAGGAGGCCAAGGAGGCCAAGGAGGCCAAGGAATCGAAAGAAGCCAAGGCTCCGGAGAGTTGATAGACCCCCTCCCCCTTAAAAAGGGATTTGTTTATAGGAATAATGGAGAATAACATGGAAACTACTATAATATGATAGGGTATATGGATCCCCACCCCCTTTGAAGGGGTCATTATATAGGGGATTGGAAGTTGGAGAATCCAAAGGAAGCATTTGTCACGTCAATGGCGCTGCTTGCCTCAGCTTCATTTAGCACAAGCAGCGAACACTTCTGTTGTTGCATTGCTCATTAGCAGTCCAATATCTTACTGTCTTTGCGAAAATGGCCGTGGTCGGAGCACCTGTCTCACATGTCTGTTGTCGCTCAGAGCTTCTGTTGTTCTTTTGCATGCGTGGGTAGTGCTAAGTTTGGTTCGCTCAGCTTTGTGAGCCAACAGTTTTGAAATCCGCTTCTTGGTGCATTAAACATTAAACGAATGAAGTGGGCTGTGTGTCACGTATTGATAGCTCTAGTTGAAGATTTGAGAACGATTTCAGAAGGCTCGAAAGGCAGTGTGAAGCATCTGGAATTCACTGCAGTCTTCGCAAGGCTGTTGAACTCATCTATCCAACCCCAAAGTGTGGATGTGGGCATATACTGTGATTTATCAGGAGCGTGTACGTTACCATGACTGTGATCCTTTACTGGAGGACAGCAGTGGCGGCAGCGCACCCCGAGAGGAGGCAACATAAGTCATACAGGTAGTCGAGTCAAAATGGTAAGGAGGCTGAACATCATTTGAGCTCTACACAAGCTTCGTGGTTCTTTTGATTAGCACGGCAGTTTCACGTTGCTTACCTTGTAAAAGCTGCATATTGAGTGTACCCGGAACTTACTCTTGGTTGCCTGTGGACCTGGCCTGTGATCCATGATTTGCAGCTCTCTTGGTTCTCTGGTACGGCACGTCCCACCTCCTCCCTGAGTCTTGAACTTAAAGGAAGAAACTACGTTGGGGGCCTTCTTCATGGTTCTTTGAAAGGAAGATTTGAGATGCGGTCGTATATCACTCCAAAACAGTAGAAGGATCCATAATCCACCCCGCTACTCAGTCCTAGACAAGGACGTACAATGAAACCTGTCTGATGTGACTTTGCACCCAGCTAGACTGTTAGCGAACCTTTGCATACCTAAGGTTGACAACCGCCAAGATAGTGGGGTCTTGGCAGATGAATCCCTAAAAGGTAGCTACAGATCCTGAGAAATGCCCTAAACCCTAAACCCTAAGTAGTAGTGCCCATTTTCGTTTTCGTTATCCCCATATAACCCTTATATTGTCCCCATGACCCCCCAAGTAGGGATAGTCCAGGCCCCGAGGGCATCCACCAGCAGCCGACAACGCTCGCCTTCGGCTTCCTCCGGTTCGTAACTTGCCAGATTCTATCTCCTTAAGTGGGACTATAACCCCAATATATACCCTATTATAATATAGTAGTTTCCATTTTCTTTTCCATTATCCCTATATATAACCCCAATTCTCTACCCATGTTAAAAGCTGTGGCTTACCAGTCACGCGCTTTGATTTTACAGCTTTGCTGGTTCAGGATGCAGGGATTTGTCAGATTCAGGACTTTTCCATACGGTTTGCATTTTTTGAAGAGGTCTTTGGGCCAGGTTGATCAGCGTTGGTAGTAGAATGAAGGAATGGGAGAACAAGATTGTAATTGTGATGGAGTGAATGCGGGTGTCTTCTACCTTGTCACGAAAGGTTTTAGTGCTTGTCCTTTGTTGCTCTTTGAGAAAGTCCAAGACGCTTGACCAGGCTTGACCCATTCACCTCTTATACCTATGTGAGCTATAGTCTAAACTCCTTAAAGGGGGCTATATAAGGGGTTATTTAGGCGACTACCATGGGGGCTGTGAAGGGGGATACTAGGAGTTTACACTATGGCTCATGTTGAGCCGCAAGGTGGAGGGGGCAGGTGCTTGTAGCTGCTGTAGTGGTCCGCAAGCATGAAGGTTTCCACTAAATTGCAGGGACTCAGATGGGGAGCGTAGTCCTTATGCCGACAGATGTATAGGGTGGCACAATACTGTACCCTATCTTCGACACAATCCAGGTATCGAGCCAGACGGACAGCGGCCAACAAGTCCTCTGGGGCCTGAGTGGTGCTGGCTTCTGCTAGCTCGACAAGTGTCACAGCGCAATGCTCTGTTTCGAAGTTCTTCAAACAGGCGTTATTCTCTGCAGCTGTCACGAATAAAGCTTGCTTGTGCAAGTTGGGCCGCCCCATGTGTCAGGAGAACCGCCTGTTCTGCAACTTGTTAGTTTCTGCAAGGAGGTTGATCTCACACTCTACACGTAAATGTTGCCGCGTAGAGTTCCATGAAGTATGCTGGTAAATCCGCGCGGAGGGGATGAAAAAGCCGATGCTGCCTGCACAGTCGTTGCACCCCTGCAATGCTGGAAAAAGCTCCGAACGACCCACACAGTCTGAATGATGGATCCAGAGGCGACATCATAGAACAAATTGAAATCCCGAGGCTGTGCCCTGTATAGTGATGCGGCCGCCAAAAGATACGAATTAGAATTAGATGGTCTAACCCACTTGTTGGAATAAACGCCCAGGAGTGGATCCCTGTTCGGGATGGGTTGCTGTGAAGGAACTAAAATTCAATCCAGTGAACCTGACGCGCAAACTTGAACATTTACTACAGATCCACATGATGACAAGTTCCCTGAGCAGCAACCCCGAAACCCCCAACCCAAAATCCTGGTCGTACCGCAAGCCCTACATTCGTGCTTCTCGCTTCTTACAACGAAGGTGGTTCAGCCCCACGCCGGCCGCCGGATGCCGAGGAGTCGCCCTACCGCAGCCTCGCTGAGGCGTTGCAGCAACAAGGGGTGTGACAGGACATGCGATTTAGGGTTTAGGACAGGATTTGGGGTTGAGGATTTTGGGGTTGAGGATTTAAAGTTCCGGGCTTATACTATAGGGTTGTAGCGTCAAGTCACCATAGTAATGGATTCCTCTGGAAGGTGCATCAAGCCTTCACAAGGCCTAATTGCAAGAAGAATTATATAGGTTTCTCGAAGATTTGTTTGCGGGGTCCCGTTAAAAAGGGCCAAAGATTTGGCGGTATGTAAGTGGGATCCCTAATTTCAGAAAATCCCCTTAGTGCAAGCAGATTGCTGTATGTAATGATGGTGGTTATCATTGTTGTAATTACAATGTGGGTAGTATTGCAGAAAGTAGAGCGCACTGAATGTCGTTTTATGGAGCCGAGATTTGTTTCTAGACCCTAGGCCACAAACCCTAAACTAGGGTGTTGTGAGGGAAATTTCTCCAGCATGCTGTGCAGACAAAGCCATTGACATACTCCGAAAATGCAGTACTGATCGTGTGTCATGCGAGAGTTGTGTAGGGAAGTGGCACTTTCCATTTCAGGGAACCCAATATAAGGCTAAATATATTATAATACTAATCATAAGGACCACCAAAAAATTATATTCCTACTTCCAAGATTGTTTGGTCCAGCAACAGAACAGAATTGTTTGCCCAAAGCAGCGCTGCTTTAAGAGGAACCTATGCTTCCAGTTCCTAACATATCCCTATCAGCCCATCGCTTTAAGCAAGAAGAGACTTACGCTTAGCCCGTGTCAGTCCGGGACCTAAGATTCCCCACGGGCCCCACTGTAACATTTCTTCCGTGGAAGCATGTGCAAGCCCTAATAGAAGCACTATTATAAGATAGCAGTTTCCATTTTTTCCATCATCCCCGTATAACCCCAACCCTAAACCCTAAACCCTAAACCCACTATAGTAGTTTCCATTTTCTTTTCCATTATCCCCATTTAACCTTAATATATCCCATATTCTATTTACTTAGACGAAATGTATCCCTCCCCAGACCGACCAACAGAATCCCAGCTGTAGAGGTGGAGGAGAGACACTTCCTGGCGGCAAGGATCCTCTGCATGCTTTTACATAAGCAGTAAGATCCACACCAGCTGTGGATGGTGTGGTTGTACCTCAAAACACCTGAGTAGTATTTTATTTGGGGAGACTATGGAACCCAATATAAAGTAAGATTATATCCTCCTTTGGGGTATAGTATTTTATATAAGGAATATAATCTTACTAGGTTCAACCACTAGAAAAACACTACTCACCTCCTTCTCTGCCAAGAAGTACGAAGGCCCTCTCTCCTCCCGCTCTCTCTCTCTCTCTCTCTGTCTTCGTGCGTGTCTCTTTTCCTCTTGTGACGTCGCTCCTTCTCTCTCTGTTTCTTCCTTTCTGTCACTCTCTCTCTCTCTCTCTCTCTCCCCCTCTCCTCTCTCTCTTCAAGTTTCTGTCGTGCTTTGTCTGTCTTTTCTTATTTCTGAACGTCTGGTAGCCCATTTACTGGGCTACCCATCCACCTCGCTGCTTGTTCATTTGATCATCTATCTGGCTCATCTATCTGCCCCCATGTGATGCTTCTGAACATGTTTGGAAGGAAGGATCCAGCAACAGGGCTACCTGCAGGGCCCTGAGAGGAAATACAGCAGAATGTGATGGACTTGCCTGTAACAATCATGTGGTCCATGCATCTGCACAGTTCATGCGCAGAGCACGGTCCACTGTGACCCTGTCGTACCCAGATCTGCGGAACCTGCGCGCGGCTGGGGCATCCTCTATGCGGACTCAGGCCACCCTGTGCCGGACCTTTTTTTGGTCTTCGTTCTATGTAGCATCATCCTGATTAGTTTTGAATGTGGTGCTCTCTGCAAAATGGGGCGCCGCGCTCCAAAAAATGAAAATACACATCCTGCTTACCAATTTCCGGTTCTGAGGGTTCATTTAAAGGAGATGATCCTGCTAGGACCCCGAAACCGAGCTTGCTATTGACAAGGGGTGCCTAACTGAGAAGTTGAGTGCCTGGAGGTATTGGATCACTCTTCGAGCGGCCTGGCTCAGGCCATGCCTTTGACCATATGAGCTACTTTCTAAACTCCTTAAAGGGTGGTTATATAGGGGATTATATGGGGGAGTACTACAGGGGATATTAAGGGGGATACTAGGAGTTTAGACGATAGCTCATATGATAGTCCATAAATAGGGGGACCCCCAATCTAGAGCCCAATATACTATGATCCTTATAAGGGGGACTCTCAAAAGGTACCCCTAATTTTGGGAAACCCCCACGTAGTCATGATTCCTGTGGACTGGAGTTTTGTCCTGCAGGTTGCCAGAGGAACTGGTGGCTGAGGAGCCACACAGCTTCGAGGCTCACGCATACCTCCTTTGCGAGATTTTCGCTTTCTGGGACACATCTTTGCATCTACAAACAACTAGCCGCTACCAACCTCAGTATCATTCCGAAACTGCAAGCCACTTTCAGCGCTTCAGGGAGAGTTGATGTTCTTTTCTTGAGCAGTTTGGGCTGCTCGCTTCCTCGCATTTTTGGCTTCCTGAAGGATCCTGGGTCCGTGCAGATTGCCAGACAAGCCCAGACAGGTGGGCCCATGTGTTTTGCGACAGGCTGGTTACGAGCAGCCTCCATGGTTCTAGAGAGGAGAGGATAGATTGACTACGTGTTGGTGGAGCCACCTGGAACCTGAAGAACAACTGCCTCAAGCTGGGCATTTGTAGGTGTAGGCCCGTTCCTGCAATGCAAGTCAACGCATCTCATCAAGCGGAATCCTTCGGCTCCTCATGGCCCTCATACGCCTGTGACCTGCAACTTACCCAACGATGAAGGATTCGTGCGGGAGATCAGCGAGGGTGAGGCAGAAGATCTTGAGGCTCACAGGGAGAGGTTAAACTTCGGAAGGATTGAAAGCAGTTCGGAAAGCGAGAATGCCTAAAATGGTATCGTCCTTGGTTGTATAAAGTCACCATGACGTTGGCACCCACTACAATGTCAAGGGCTCTGAGCTAGTATTGTCAGGTTGGCGTTGGAGGTTCAGCTTCAGGGCTTATGAAGCCCGACAAGCATGCTAGCGTTCGGTGTCCTACGGAAGTGTGGATTTGTATGAGCAACGTTCTGTGGAGTCCTTCGACACTTTTGCTTGCCAAGTATGTTGGCTTGCATTTCAGACCGCAGGACTGCCTGGACGCCATTCAGAGGCCGTTTCCGCTGCTGCGGAGGCCAATTCCCCTGTCCCAGGCTGGGTGCCATTCGTTTGACTGTGCTTTAGTGGTTGTAGTTTCCCTCTAAGCCCTATACATATCCCCCCAAATCCTACATAACCTTATAAAACCCTAAGCCCATAAACCCTAAACCCTAATACTCCTGATTGGGACCCGTTGATACTTGTCCCAGTCTTTCAGTCTGGAGGCAATGCAAGCCCAGGCATCGACATTAATCACTAAACGCTTTTGCCCTAGCTGCTCGATCGCAGCCTATGCTTCTTCATCTGCTGCATGCGTTGAAAAACCAAGAGCTACCAACAACGCAGACTTGTGCCACTTGGATTGCTGAACAATCTGGCCATCTTCCCGGGACTGCTGCTTCAGCAAGGGGAGTGGGCCAATCTTTGGAAGGCTGAGAACCAGTCTTGAGGGAACAAAAGCCAGGATTTAGAATCTCAGCTTTGCGTTGATAAGCACCGTGAACAGGTGCGAATGTAGTCGATTCTAGAAGGCAGGTAACGTGACAAGTGATCCCTGCCAGCAGAAGGCAACTCTGCGACGCAGGGTACAAGACCACTATTACTATTGTTATCAGAACCGCTTGTGTTACTTTTTTACTAACTGTGATCATTATTGTTACGCATTGCATCAGCTCCTCTGAGTTCCACGAAGGGCCCATGTGCGGGATATAGGGTTTTTAGAGCTATACAAGGAAGGATATATGAGCAAGAGTCTAAACTCCTTAAGCGAGGTAATAGGGGATCATCTAGGGAGTATTCTAGGGGTTTTCCAGGGGGATACTAGGAGTGTAGACTATGGCTCATGCAGAGATGATTGGCGATGTATAGTGTAGGGACATATTGGGATATATATATATATAGATATCAAAGCCTTCAAGGCGACTGTCCATAGAATCCTCGCCGCAACATACGTCCAGAACCTTATGGTTTGTAGAAGATACCTACTGGTGGTTATTACCCTGGTGAGGATAGGGTCAATTACAATGTAGTAGTTTCCATTCTCTTTTCCATTATCACTATATAACCCCTATACATATAACCCTAATATTACCCCAATATACCCTAAACCCTAAACCCTAAACCCTAAACCCTAACATTAAGGGTCTAGGTGACTCCAACCCGCTGAAGCCTGTTGGAGGCAGTCCAGTACGCGGAGGCTTTGTGGGAGCCGAGCTCAGCAAGTTCCTGGCCAGCCATTCCCCATTATATAGGGATTAAAGGGGCTTATATAGGGGATATATAGGGATAATGGAAAAGAAAATGGAAACTACTATTTAGGGTTTAGGGTTTAGGGTTTCCCAAAATTTGGGGGTATTAGCCCCAATAGTGGAGAATCAAATGGAAAAGAACATGGAACATGAAATGGAAACTGGGTTATATAGTGGTTTATAGGGATTCTATATAGAGATCCCCTTATTCTGGGAAACTACCATCTCTTGACTTGCTTCATGCCCGGACGACTGCATGCAACTGTTTGCTTTTTTATTGGTGTTCTGTCCACAAGGATGACTGACCGCTGACTGTTTGGCCAGCAAGATGTTACACCAGAACACGCATCTGCGATTGAAACATGCATGAGCCGCCTCCTTCCTCAAAGAAAGTCCCCTTGCCCGTCACTAAAGGATTATTATACAGTACGATGTGCCCGCTCACCGCCAAATATCATAGCTCGTCCTGTCTTAGCGATGTGGAGTGATGAACATACAGACCATCTGCCCATAGCAAGGAAGATCAGGTGACGGCCCATGCAGTGTTTGCCATGCGAGCATGCATGTGCTCTAGGATTTCACTTTAGATGTCCCGGCTGCATTGTGCACACCTCGCAAAAAGCTCTACTGGATGTCACCAATTTGCTCCTGATGCCGCGGCTCGTCGCATAGAACATGTAAGTGTTGGACTATAGTAGTTTCCATTTTCTGTTCCATTATCCCCGTCTCACCCCTATATTTCCCCAATACACTATAGTAGTTTCCATCTTCTTTGCCGTTA